TATCCAATATAAAAAAAATTCGGTTCTTCGGTTCTGGGTCTAGAACCCAGAACCGAACCAAACCATTCGGTTCTCGATTCGGATACCCGTTCGGGTATTTCATTTTAAAAAACCCGTTCAATTCGGTTCGATTCGATTCGATTCGGTTCGGTTTCGGTTCGATTCAGACATTTTGCCCAACCCTACATTTTCAAGACTTATGATTCTCAATTTGACATTTTGATTCTTATTTCCACCTTTATTTGTTAAAGTAGACCTTATCGTCACTTACTGTCCACTTTTACTGTAAAATGATCACGTCCCTCTCAACTGTCCAATACTAGGGCCAAAATGCCAAGTTAAGAATGATAAGATAGACAAGCATTAGGGATCGTTTGCACTGATTAACCATTAAAATTAATAATAAGAAAACAAACAGACAAGGTTTCAAATATGACGCAATGGTGAGAGTGTAAAATGGAATTCCTACTCTACTTTTACTTAAGGGAAGGTTTCTCTAGCTTTTGAAAAACTAAGAAAGTGTTTCTATGGTAGTAATTTACTCGAAATATTAATAAATGAAGCAACTTATTTTAAAAGCAATCAATATACATTCTAGGTGCGCCAAGAAGAGCACACATCAAGATCATGCTTTGAACAAATATGCAACATTTGAAATTACACTTCGTACATATTTTAAATTTAGAAATCAAGAAAAATTAGTATCAATCTATGTTCTAAAAATTTAAACACATGAATAGGCAATAATGTCAAATTTCAAGCTTTCTTGAGCTCCAATGAATCTAGACGAAATTTAGGTATAAAAAATATAAAGTATGATTGGATGATGAAATCAAACTTCACGTCTAAGGGGTTGTCTCGTGAAACTGTTTGTAAGGATTTTCAGCACAAATCAGACCATTCAGCCGCACCAATTGACTTCCTTTCTCTCAGGCGTGTCCCACTAACGTTCCTTTTTGTGATTTTAATATGTGGAAAATCTGGAACAGACAGCTCCTAATTGTGCTCTTTGGAACACTAGTATCAATACTTAAGTCTCAACATATAACACAAGCCGTATATATAATCCATGTCTGACAAAGGTTTTTCAAATATTAAGTCCATGTTTGAACCACATTAAAATTTTCATTATCATTTTTCTACTCATTTTCAATCACATATTTTTCAATATAATAATATTTTTCATCATCTCAATAACTTTTCCTTTTTTTTCAATACACAGTCCCCATCAATCTACTATTCTAAAATACATTCTTTCAAAATAATGTGGTGCAAATACACCCTAAGTTTGGTGGGTTGCATAAAAATGTGTGATTCAAATATAGATAAAAATTGTGAGTTCAATAAATATATGGTTAAAAGAGAGTTTGATCAACATAAAATCTGAAATAAGCTTTATCAACTCGATTATTTTGAAATTCAACTTGAGAAATAAATTAATCAATTGAGAAAAATACTAGGCCCCATTTGATAAGCGTAACTTTCCAAGGAAAATGGAAAATAATTTCCATTTTTCACTGTCTAACATGTTTGATGGACTTATTTTTTCAGTCAAATTTTTTTCCATTCCCTCGCTCACACGCCCTGTTTTCCACCAAAAGAAGGAATAACTTTTCTCATCTTTCAACTGGTAAAACATCAGAAATGATCTAATGA